CCGAAGCGCAAGCCGACAAGCAAAAATGGCAGGACTAGACGAAGACGTTGTAGACGAGGTCCTGTACTTGGCGCGAGCGAATGAAGCAGCTGAGCTCGATTCGTACATCTCCGAATTGTCCACACAAACGAAGCGATCAAAGACCGAACTCTACACTGCGGCTATCGACCCATATTCGAAGAATAGCGCGCTGCATTATGCTGCTGCTAATGGACACAACGGTAACTTCTCCAGATACTCATGACGGGAAGCATGTCTAATTTCTGGCATAGACGTCATCAAGCTGCTGTTCTCGACCGGCGCTGAGAAGCCCGAACCCACATTCCTCAACGCGGTCAATGAAGCAGGCAACACACCCCTCCACTGGGCCGCGTTGAATGGTCATCTCGAAAGCGTAAAACTTCTCATTCACGCCGGTGCCGATGTCACGATCATCAACCGAGCGGGCCACGATGCGGTCTATGAAGCGGAGATCAACGACAAGAATGAAGTCGTAGACTGGCTCCTTGGAGCCGTGGAGGAACTGGAGAAAGGAATTGGACAGACTGGCGAAGCGGAAGCGGAAGCTGGAGAGAACACCGACGAGAACATGGATGATGCAGACGCAGAGGCGGAGCATGCCCAAGGCAACAGTGCATCGGCGCAAGGGACTACAACTGCATCAACGGTGGAAGACGTCCAGAAGCAGATGGCGGACCTAGGTACCCAGGATCTTGCGTCCAAGGGTGGCTGAAGCACCTCGACTGTTGGCCGCAATATACATATATTGCTGACGGCCTGCAGCTGCAAGGAACCGAATCTGCCCCTGATGACGTTGGGTTCACGGCAAACACAAAACCATGTGGTGGGGTTTGCACAAGATAGCGTGCATTGCAAAGGCAAAGCGCCGAAAGATTGACATGGCGCACATGGGACCGGTATCTGGGTGGTGAACAAGGCAACAGAAATGCCATTGTATCTACGGGCTATGCACTGAAGAGTACAAAGTGTTTTCTAGCTTCCAGCCGTGGCTACGAGCAAGAGAAGCTTGCTCCCGCTGGTAACACCGCATACATCCAGACTAGTCAAGAAGTGGACCAGCTGTCATAATTGATCATCCGCTCGAGTACATGATGAGCGATAATCATGGCCAGGCATAACATGTGTAGTGTGTGCCGCGGCGCTGAACGAAGAGCTAAGACGTGTAGTCCCTTCATGCTACAATGTCGCATCCATAAGCACCAAGACAAGCGTGAGATCCTACCTTCACTTAACAGACGAGCAGTCGTCAATTCCAAGGATATGGCCCAAATCTAGCCTGCATTAGTGGTCGTTTTGAACCTTCACTGTCTTTTCTTCTTCTTACCGCCCACACAATCAGTCGCGTAACCAGGCTCTGCGCTTCGCTTCTTTCGCAGCCTTGCGCTTCTCGTTAAACTCCTTAAGCTGCTTTTTGCTGAGAGGCTGTGCGCGACGCTCCGCCTTGAGACTACGTCCGTCATGGCTGTTGGCTGCAGCATCAACGTCGAAGAAAGCATTCATTTGGCGACGGCTCTTATTCTCGTCGTTGTGCATCTCAGGGCCTTGACCAGTTTGTTGCTGCTTGCCGTTGAAGCGGTTGAACTGAGCAGTTGTTGTGTAGTCATGACTAGAACCGTGCGCGTTACGAGCGGCGAAAGCTGCAGCAGAGACGGCCTGTTGGGCGTCCTCTTCCTCCTTCTCTGCCTCCTTTGCATAGTCCGCATTGGGGTCAAAGCTACCATGGATCTTTGGGTTGTAGCCACCCCACTTGCGCTTTGGAGGAGACCTGGTGCCCGGAGCGCCAGAGCTTGATGTCATAGCAGCGGCGGCACCGTGATAAGGGTGTCTGTGAGATGCACGTATTAGGCTGAGAAAGACATAAAATGAAGATGATAGTTAGCAAACCTGTCGTAGCCATAGCTCTGGGCAGAAGCGGTCGGGACACGCGGATTCTCCCACTGCGAGATGCCGGTCTTGTGGTTGAAGTAGTACCATGCGCCAGCGTTGTTGTCCCACCTAGCCTCCCAGCCGTCATCCTCTGCGTCTGGGACGGGCTCGTCGGGTAGGGGAGGCGCGCCACCGTCGTAAGGCAGCGGAGCAGACGAGCTCGAGCCGTAGCTGGCTTCCCGGTTGGTGGGCTTGACCTCTGCGGCTTCCGGTGTGTTGGGGCGGCGGTCGCCTTGCTGCGCAGTGGCAGCGGGTGACGGGTTGCGCGCCAGATCTTTGTCGCGAACCTCAGTAGCCATGTCGCAGGATTTTCTGTGCACTTATATATGTTAGGAAAGATGCGCCTGGGTCAGAGATTCGCAGCATGCACGTGGTTGCCAAAGGGGTTTCGGCAAAGGCTGACAACGGTGGTGTTGTTGTGGTGGTGACAGTCGACTCGGTCGCACCTGCACAGAGAAGTTCAGACCTGGCTTGGCGCGACGCTAGCTGCGTAAGCAGCTATTAGCGTATACGTGACCTTGGCGTTCATTCCCGGTACCATTGATACCCCATCATTTGCACTGACTCGCAAGCCGCTTCGCTTCGGTCCAGCTCAACGGCGATCCGCTTGTGCCTGCGCCTTGGTCCTTGTCAGTTCCCGGCCGCTCGCCTGATCCCTCGGTCCTTTGTCTCATAATCAATACGGGAGGTACGAAGATATTGTGGGCGTCATCGCCGACAGCGGGAAGCCACAGCCGATCCTGGACCATCGTTAGGGCAAGCTCGATTGCACAGCAAGCACTTTGCGTACGCATGCTCGATTACTGCACCGAAAGACGCGACGGGGCCATCTCGTGTCAAGCCACTACGGCATCCGGAGAAAGCCCTTATTATATGGAGTCTTAGGACGCCCGAAGATGCGCATGGACTCGGGAGTGCAATCAAAGAAACCGACCGCTAGGCTTAGAGCCGTTCGGCGCGGGCCAAGCTGGCTTCATGCAAGCAAGGCCAGAGGCGTTAGGGGATCCGGGACGTAAGAGGATCGAGATGGGCTCAATCGCCCGCTCAACGGCTGCTGTGAGCTCGTTCCGATCGGATTCTGGTGCCGCTTTTAGTCAGGCTTTTTTCGGCGTCTTTTTGGCTGACGACAACGGCATCGCCCGTGTCAGCATTTGGCATCAGCCTTTTCAATGTTGAGCGGGGACAAAAGGCTTCTCGTTGGCGATATAGGGCCGGCCGCCGGGACACCTGTCTTCTTGTTCGCATTGTTGACGGCGGCTTATTTGCCCTCTTTTCTCCTGCAGCGAGAGGCGTCGTTTATGGTGGCTGCACGTTTTAGCTGTTTCCAGTCCTTGGCCTCAATCTAACTGAAGCTTATTGGACGGAACCGCTCCAGAACCTAACGCCAGGTCCCAGAGTTTCGCGGCAAAATAGCAAGGACATGTTCGCTGCATTCCGAGCTCACGCTGCATGATCTGCACAGGTCATTAGCGGATTAGCTGCGGTTGGCTAGCTGCCAGTTGGTACGATCTGGGGCTCACATTGCCCACGCGCCATCCACGACTGCAGTAACGTGCATCAGTCTGCATCTGACGCAGCACGCTATCTAGCCCGCTGAAGGCGGTTGACTCGATATCTGCAGCCAATATTCCGGCTGGCTTGCTCCATACCCTGGCTGGTCCCAGCATCTTCGGGTCTCAAACAGCAAAGGCTCCACGACCATGTCCCTGGCGGTCCGTCACTGCACGCCACTGGAATAATCGCTGACCTACTTGGAGGCCGCGGTCGCTCCTCCTTGAAGCCTGTTCTTACAAGGGCCTCCTGGTAAGCTCTTGACTGGCTGAGCACGGGGTCCCGCTGTCGTCCGCCCACCCTCACTCCTGCTACCCGGGCATTATTATACTTATTGCTATTATCCTTTGCCTTACGTTCAAGCAATCGAAGCAGTGCTCGCTGCGTGCTCAGTGTCAATTGCGCCCAAAAGGTGCGTCCGCGGCGCATATCATAATCCCTGCATCTGTAAGTTCTTCCCGTGTCGCCCCTACATACGCTCTTACATGCACTGTTGCTTTGTGCTTCGGTTGCGGTTCATAAGGAGCCGGAACAGTGGTGCTCAGTCGCCAGACGTCAGCCCTGCACGGACTGTTGTTTCTTTGGTCTACTTTCTAGACTGCAATAGCTCGCAGCGGACATCCCAGTCCAGGCCAGACGCTTCTGTTTGTCGGCCACCTTCCTGACTTCCTCACGTACCTTTATGTACCTGTTAAGTTGACCATTAGCTGATGCCGTGGCTGCACCAGTGTCAAGTCTTGAGCAGTGCCTGGATCTCTTGAGCGTCCTAGGCAGTCAATAGCTCCTGCTGTTCTATATACCCTCATGTGGTCGGTCAACGGGGTGTACCGTGGAAATCATCCCACTCCAAGCGCCGAACATCAAACCGCATCTTACCTGCTATGCTTCTCAATATGAGTCGTCCACCCAGCATACCCTCACATTCAGGACCTCCGCCCTCCTACAGCCCTTACCCGCCACACCATGCTTCATCGTCTCGGCCAGAAATCATCGCCCCTAGCCAGCACATCCGTCCTAGAGATTCCAGTGGAAGCCATAACAATGCGCAACAACTACCCAGTCTTCGCACGCTCTTGGAACCAGAGCTACTCGACAAGAAGTCATCGGATCCATCATTGAGGGCGGGTGGCGCTCCGGCACTCTACAACCATTCTGGGCGTTATGGGTCTTCTAGTCCGACGTTGAAGAGACGGCATGAATATGATGGTTACTTCCATGGCCACCCCGAGCATAATGCTATCGCTTCTCAAACGCCCTACCACCATCGTCAACCTCTGTCAGGTACAAACGCTACACCATCTACCTCGTCGTCGACGCCAGGCTCGGGGTTTGGCGTCAGTCGGGTAGATCTCCAACGGCGTGAAAGTTTCGCCCATCCTTCACAGCATGACCTAGTAGGCAATGGGCATCGGCAAGTATCGCTCATGTCTGATGCGACGGGAACGATGACAGCCCACTCTAGTCAGCAAGAACTAGGGTTTGATCCGAATAGACCTGTCAGAATGAGACGACTGGAAGGTTCTTCGCGCGCTCCAGTACGATCTTCGCGTTGTGTTGGACAACGTGATATACCAGGCGAAGGCCCGTGCTACGTCTACGAGGATGGCACCTATTGCCGGGCTATAATAGACGGCGAAGCGGTCAATCCTTCATGGGGTATCACAAAGGCCGGTAAACCTCGAAAGCGACTTGCGCAAGCTTGCCTGACCTGTCGAGAGAAGAAGATCAAATGCGAGCCCGGATATCCAAAGTGTCACCAATGCTCCAAGTCGCAAAGGGTGTGCAGAGGGTAAGTGAACCTCGCTGTTTGAGACTTTCTTTCTTTTCTCATTCGAGAACATGGAGTGCATTAACTTAATTGGTCCGTTATGCTTTGGACCAGACAAGGCTATACTTGTATGATACAATGACAAATACTAACGACTGGTAGTGGACTCAACCAAAGCAATGCATCCGGCGAGACCTCACCGTCGAATTCCGCTCCGCTATTTAAGAATCCGTCGTCCGAAGTCCTAAGTCCTGCGGCAACCTCAGACAGAAACAAAGCTCCTGGAGAGCTGCGAGACTCATCAAGAAAGGTCGACACGTGGAACGCCGGAACCCCTTTCAGATCTCGAAAATTCCGTCCCAACACTGCTACAGATCCAAGAGACATGTCGGTGCAGTCATACGATTCGGATTGGAGCGGCTCCGCAAACGACCAGGGCTCGGGCGACCCTGTACGCGGCTCTTATTCTGACTACCTTGCCCTCCAATGGGAACAGGATCCTTTTGAAACAGACCCCGGACTTACCATGCGTCTATTGGACCTTTATTTCCTTCACGCCGGTAGCGCAACGTACGCCATGTTTCCTCGTCGACCTTTCCTCGCATGGGTAGAGAACAATCGCGATAAGAGTCAGGACCATCTGATGCTCCTATATTCCGTCCTTGCGATGGGCTCTCTCTTCTCGGCTGGTGAGGACAGGGGAGCTTTAGGGAAAAAGTTTACTGCTGTCGCTTCATACGCAGCAGAAAAACGGTTCGGCAAATTCAGTCTGCAGTTGTGCCAGACTCGACTGATGCTTGCGCTCTACAACTTCGCTCGAGGCAAATCACAGGAGGCGTGGGACTATTGCGGTGCTGGTTTGCGAGCGCTTATTGCACTGAAATTGAACTCTGAAGAAGGTATTAAAGAGCTGGCCGATAGCAACGCCGATCTGGACTATGGATTTGATCGTCAAACCTACGCAGAATGCTGCCGCCGCACTTTCTGGTCCGGATTCCTGATGGATGTAAGTCACGATATCGTGGACACTCCAACATCCGTTGACATGTTGCAACAACAGCGATACAATGGTTTCTTTGGAGGAACTCCCTTTGTGATCAACCTGGAGGATGCCTTCGTTAAACTTCCATGCCTGGATAGCATGTACGACGCATCAACCCCGTGCGATGCACCATTCTTCGACGAGGAACTTCTGAGCGCAAGCGCTATACCCCATTCTGTTCTAGGGAATACGGCATACCTATGCCTAATATCGGCACTATGGGGTGACGTGCTTACCTTTACGAGTCGTGCTGCGCGCCGCCCGGACAGTGCCTACGAACAACACTATGACATCTTCTATACAAAGATGAACGAAAAGCTGAACGCCTGGCATGATATGTTGCCAGAGAACCTTCATTACACCCCGCAGAACCTGGACAAAGGCTTTGCTGATGGATATGCGGGCACATTTTTGTCGATGCACGCTTTGTATTACGCTACAATCATCCGACTCAATCGTCAGGTGAGAGTTAACGTACTGCCAGTGGACAAAATACGCCGAAATTTGGAGCGGTCAATACGTATGGCGTCTAACTTCCTATCGATGATGCTTTCACAAGCTCCCGTCAACCGCCACCGACGTCCTACACCCACCGTCGCACCAGAATTCTCTTTCTCGACACCTTTCCCTGGATACGTGCTCATGCTTTCGGTTGATGTATTGACGTCTGCGGGGCTCGTTTCGTCACTGCCGACCTTCATCGAGACACTCAATACGACACTGACGTGCATCGACGAATTGACGGGCTTTTGGGCGTCTGCAAAGGCGCAGCAGAAGATGATCTCGAATCGCATCAAACAGCTGACGGAAATTGCCGCACAAGAAGGCCAAGGCATAAGAAACGGAAATTACGGGAAATTCTGGAGGATCAGCAACAGTCTAGAGACGGCATTCGGAAACGATGATGCGCTGTACAAGACTGAAGATCAATTGCTTTTCGGAGTTGTTGGTCAGCTTACGGGTCAGTAACTGCTTGCCCCGCATAAGATCGCTATGCGACGAATAGAACCGCGGATAATACCTCTCTTGTTCAACAGCATCGAGTGTGCATGCACTGTTCGTGTTTGTCTTGGATCTGAGGCTCTGACATAGCGTTACACGTTGCATAAACCTCGGCCCGATCTCCAAAACCGCCTCACCTGGTCGACGTGCCTAGCACAAGCACGAGTCCGCATTAACAGAAACATGGATCCGTGGGAATAGGAGAGCTATCTAGTGGGTTACCACGTTCCTGGCACACGTTGAGGCATGGATGATATCCGCATGCCATCCTACAGCTCCGCCATGGCTAAAAGTTGTAGAACCGCTATCACTTTGTACTAGTACTATTTCCAAAAGTTCTACCCGAAGTTTGGGCATTGGCAGCGACTTCGGTCTACAATTGGAATACGCGATATCAGTTTTCTCATTTTAGCACTTCGATTCTCGAGCATTATATCATGGAGCAGCTTTGTACTATTACCATATACCAAAACATGTACGGATAATGAATAGCGAGTTTCACAAGCATATAACAAAAACACACAGATTGCCCATCCCCGCAGGTCCGAGAAACCATGTCACGCTTATCGTGAGACAACATGATCGAGCTTTGCTGCAGTACACCCTCACACAGCACGTTCGCGTTCTCCACTAAGAAGTACCCGTACCTTGCACCTCGGGTGCTACACTTACGCCGTGACCGCAATAAGCAAGCAGCAAGACTAGGTTGAGTCATGCGGGGACGCGGGAGTTTCCAAGCCACGTTGTCTAGAAAAACGCCTAAAGATCAGGTGTGTGTGACCCGTAACTCGACGCTTATCGTGCTCTCCTCTCAGCTCTGTTCAATCTATGGTTCACACCACTACGGGGACGCCTTCGGTCCACATCAACAACCAACAAGAGCAGACGAAATCGCTCAGGTGCAAAACCTCCGCGGATCGATGGTCGATAATTGACTGGTTGAGTGGTATACAGCAAGGAGGCAATCATGACGACATCACACGCGTTCAACTACCGATCATCATTGGTACCGATGTGCACTGCCCAGGTTTGTGGCACTGAAGCCGCGATGCATGCCGTGTGATCACATTACTGCCTATACGACGTTTACTGTGAGTCGCCGGGGATTTGGGTGCGAAGGAGTAATAAGCAGTAGTAGTGCGCCCCCGCTAAAGGACGCGTAGCTAGCAAAAGTCCACGACTACCGATAGCACGGACAAGTACCGGTGCGCTGTTCACAGGCGCAAACGCGACCCTCCGGCTGATAGCCCGTAGCTAAAGATTTGGCGTACCAACTCCCGCTTTAGACTGTCGGCACCTGCCAGCGCATGCGCGCGAACAAGCAAGTAAGCTCATCGTCTCCTCTTTGTCCGAATAGGAGAAGCAAAACACCGGAGTCGAAATAGAGCGAAAGTTTATTTTTCGAGCGACCTGGATCATTGCGGCATGACATAATCTACCTGGGCAGCCACCATGAGTTTGACCACTGACCAGGTAACCTAACTTGACGTCCCAAACTTTCATCCTAGCTTGACACCCTTATTCTACGACTACCGAGCAAAACGCAAGCCTACCTACCAAGTACCCCGAACCTCAGCTTCCGGAATTTGTCAGCCAAGCTTACGGCACGGTAGATTTTCAAATGTCCGGTCCGACTTCTGTACGTTCTATGCCGTTCCGGCTCATGATTTTCCAAGCATCGTGAACTTCTGCCCCCGAAATACCTCCTACTGCATAAGGTTCACCTGGGCAGTGTTGGCTATTTTGCACGTGCGCACCTTCCGCTCCGGGCTAGAAGTCACAGCTAGAGCAAGGACAGAACATGGACAAGAATCACCTCACAATGATGGCGCTTGCGAGAAGCATCTCCCTATTTTCTCGTCTTCCTCCACATTCCGAGGGGTGTATTAGCACTAAGTTCTTCCTGCTATTTGCATACAACGTTAGTAATCAACGGTACGGCGCGATAGCGGTTGGACACCGTGCTTGAATGCTATATTCGAACACCTGTGCTATGAAGCGCTTCTCGGAGATTAGAAAATTTAAACAACACACTTCTGATGACCGAGACGAGCCGAGGCTGTTCACTTAGAACTGCAACTACCGTCTCTCAAGTGGGGACAGTGGGGACAGGCAACGTTGGAGGAGTACAGGGCGATTGGATGACGGGCAGGATCCCCGAATATCATTTTTAAAGCAGCGGCTTGTAAGCTCTCAAAAGTCTAAGTAAGCACCTAGTGAAGGAATCATACGATGTCCAGGGATGAGGTTGCTGCCTATAAAGGGAAAGCGATCTTCTTGTTGAATGACGAAATGCGTAGCCTCGGCACACTCTTGAGCGTAGTAGCGAGAGATGATGTATCCTGTAGGAGTTGAGAGCGATTGGATGGCAGTGCTAGGCCATTCGGGATGTAGTTGCCGAAGTCGATGCCTGAGCAGATACCATGTCGTAGTAGAGAAGTTACGCCTTATACCACAACAAAGTGGCTATACCCAAACTCACGGTCCCAGACCAGGCATGACACCAACATGCATACCAGGTTGATTCCAACTCGAAGTCAGAAAAGAAGCCGAATAGAAGCAAGATTTCTGATAGCTAAACCCAGCTGGTGGAAATCCATTCCTAGACGTGTAAACATGAGTGTGTTTGCGCGCTACCGCAACACAACATAAGTCATTTTCGCTTATCGGAATGAATAAACCGACTACGGCACGTAGTAAGTCCGTAGATAGGCCTTCTCGGCGGATCTTTGGTGTTTTAGAATTACAAGGTCAACTTCCTTGGCTGCATATCTCCCGGAACTCTGCTTGGGTTTTGCTATATCCACCCGAAAGTAAAGGAGTATCTCAAGAGAGGATAGGAAGTCTCTTGCCTAGCATCCCTTGTCACAAGAGAGCATGCTATACCCCTTCCTAGCTTTTCGTTGCTAACAAGAGTCAAGAAATATTGTAGAAGAATGTTCTAGCTTAGGTGAGATGGTAAGTTTAATCTTTGGTGCTAGGTTTAGAACAGGGTTGTAAGGAAAGTCGCTGAGAAGGCCCAAGCACACCAAAGTCCATATCAATCATTTGGAAACGCAACAATTCAATAGGAGCAACCCACCCATGTCCTAATGTCCCCCCAGTACTTATGGTAGTAATGGTCAAGTTAAATCAGCATCACCGCTAATATACAACATGATTGGCGCGAGGCAGGTACGCCACGACTTGAAAGGAGAATGCATTGTTTTGTCAAAGCGAATAAGCTAGCTAACTAGCTATGAGCATTTCACACCACAGCTTTACAGTATGAACAAAGATCGAGGGCGACAGGGTGCATATGAATCGAAGAGGAAAAGATGAAGAAAAGAACTCAACAAATGAGAGAGGAATCGACAGAGGAAAGGAACAGACCAAGTGTTTAGTATGGCAAAATGTGCCTCATTGCTGCCATGTTCACAGGTAGCAAGTGGTATCATAAGCAAGTTCAAAATGGAAAGTTATAATTGTTGGCCATAGAGGACAGCCAGACTATAGATGGTTATCTGTCTTGAACTTATCCCACGCCTCGTTTAATGTGGCAAAGACAGCTGCACTAATCATCTTCTGCTCAGTAGTCGCTGTTTGAGATATCTGTAGTGGAACGTGGTTAGCATTCTGCCCGTTTGTAAAACCTCTTCAAGTACGATGGTAGAAAAGTGAGAAAGGAGAAGTTAGAGGACATACCTTGTCAGGATGAACCTTGGCAATGGCCTTCATATAGATAATCTTGACCTTATTCGGCATGACCAGATCGCCCATGTTGACCTTCTTCCATCCAGCATCCTCCCAAAGCACTTTATCCAAACTACCCAGTAAAGCACGTAGGTTGTCGGACTTGGTGCCCTTCCAAGCGATGAGCTTGGCGTCGACTTGATCGGTCAGGGCGAACTTCTCGTCGTCTGCACGTTCAGCGGCAGCGTTGGCGGCTTTCATGCGCTTGACGGCCTCGGAGTCGATGGCTGGACCACCACCTAGGTCTGACATGGCGGAGGGTCTAGGAGCAGCGGGCTTACGGGCTGGAGGTGGGCGTTTGGTGGCTGCTGGCGCATTGTTGTTGCCGCCATTTGCGGCTTTCTCGCAGCGGTTTCGTCCAGAGATGGCGATGGCACCGCCTACACCATTTTGAACAGCCTCTTTCCATACACCGTGTGCATCTGCCCACTTCTCCATGTTCTCTAGTGCTTCTGCTTTTCGCATGAGGGCTTTACCGTAAAATTCCTTCATGTCTTTTTCGCCCTCCATTCCACCTGTAGCGATCTTTTCGCCTTCTCCTCTCGATATGCCGATTATAGCCAAGGCTGCATCGGCATCAGCAATTGCTGCTTTCGGGTCGCCAACTTTGATGTTAGTGACTGCGCGATTGCAGAGTACGACTATCGTGACAGGGTGTGTTTTTGGAAGAGGACTCAGTGCAGAAGAATAGGCAGCGTGTGCAGCGGAGTAGTCTCCACGCTTGAATGCCTCTGAACCTCTTTGCCGGTCAGCTGACGACGAACTGAGAGCCGAAGACGAGACAGGAGGGATCTGTCGCGGTGGTGCTTTCGGTCTGGATGCAATCGGTGTAGGCGCTGGACTTCGAGCCTTTGGTGCTGAAGTTGCTTGGAGAAACGGGTTGTTAGATTTTGCTGGTGTCGGTTGGCGTGAAGCCTGCTTTGGGGGCGTAGGTTCTGGAGAGAAGAGATCTACTTCTGGCTGCGGTTGTGGAGTGGTCTTCTTCCGGCGAGCAGGACTAACGTACGCCTGGGAGCTCTGTTCTTCAACCTCCTGGCGGGTCAGTCGCATCGCTGGTCGTTTATCCAAACTTGATGGTGGCTGCCGCTGTGATGGAGACTGAGACGACATGCGATCTGGGCGATCGTTTCGCCCAGTTTCCTGCTCTCTTCTTTGGCGTACAGGTAGCGGTTCGGCTTGCTGACGCATCTCGCTCGTCCGAGAAGGCTTAGTGGGTCGTCCACCAGCCTCCAGCA